CGATGGCATATTACCCGGTTGCTCTTGGAGAGTGCACACATGCAAGTGTCACACACACACACACACACACACACACACACACACACACACACACACACAGAACGAGAGAGAGAGGGGGGGGGGAAGGGGGTTCTCAATGAATGTGGGGCACAGCAGGTGCGGCAATAACTAAGTGGAACTCCAGTTCATGATTCTATCCGAATTTTTTCTTGAAGGAAACACATCGAAATGCAAAAGGGCAGCTTTTTTTGCATATATCTTGGATATCATTTTGCCGCTCGTGGTTTTTGCTGGACTGAAGGAACATTTCATCTCGCTATTCCCACTTTGTATTGTGTGTAATCCCACTTCATCCTTTCCCTGGAGCCCCTCTTCACCCATGCCGCCTCTGCCATTCTACAAGTTCTATAAAAAAAAACTTAGTCTCTGTCATCAGGTTGCGTGCAGGGATGAACATGTGAACAGCTGCCATCTTTCCTGCAACACAGCACTGTTGCCCTGACTGAATCAGACCAGAAGAGATAGCTTGTATGCATTCATGATCAGGGTGCATTGCGCTGAACATGCCCAACTTATCATGACTGAATCAGACCAGAAAGATAGCTTGTATGCATTCGTGATTAGGGTGCATTGTGCTCAGGGGAAGACTGTGGATGGTAACATGCCCAACTTATGACGACTGTATCAGACCAGAAAGATAGCTTGTATGCATTCATGATCACCGTCGGATTGCACTCTTCAGGGGAAGACAGTCAGTAGTCACATACCCAACTTGAACATACTGTGGCCATGGGTGATCCAACCTTAAACAATCAATCCACGCCCATGCCAAGCGAAAACCGCAGCCGTGTACAAGGAGGCTGCAAAATAATAAATCAGCTGCCAGGCCCTGATTTATTATTTTGTATGCATTCATGATCACCGTCAGATTGCGCTCAGGGATTGCGTTATAGCTTTTCTAGTCAACAAATATATCCGCTGCCAGGTGCTGAAAAGCTATAACGCAACCTTAAAAATAATCAATTCACGCCCATGCCAAGCGAAAACCGCAGCCGCAGCCATGCACAAGGACGCTGCACTTCCAATGTACCAGCCTCTGGATGTGGTGGGGTACAGTTCGGGTTTGCTGGGAAAATTAAAATTAATGTCATCATTGCGAAATGGTGGTTTAAACTTTTAAACCGCCGGTACACGGCCCCAGCCTTGCTGAAAAGAAAACTCCTTGCCTACGAAATTTTCGGAGGCGTAGATAAATCGAATCAGCGGCCGACGGCCCGACAGCCTCTGAAAAGGGCCCGTGACCGATCGCTGGATGTACTGTTGTGTTTAACCGCTAGTACCTTTGCCCGCTGGCATTCTAAGTCGCATCGTGTAACTTGGTAGCCAAGCGGGGCCCACCACCGCCATTGATAAATCGAATCGGGGGGCCCACTTTTCATTTCCGGCCTCCGACACTGCCCGCGGCCGACATATGGGAATGGTACTGGTGGTTTGAGCTTTGAAGTTTGAAGTTTAAACCACCACCAATCTCTCTATGCACTTTTCGCCATTTAAGCTGTGCATACGCGGAGGCCGTATGCAGCGTTGAACCACCAAGCGGACCGACCTGCCGAAACCCCGGTTCGATTGCATAACACTCAATGGGAAATTACAAATTTTCCATCGGGCGGAAATCACCTCAGAGAGGTAATACAGGTGATGTAGCTATGCTGCCATCAGCTTTCCATTGCGACAAAATTGTGTCAAGGTAAAAAATAAAAATAATAATAATAATTAAAAATTTTAAAAAAAAAAAAACTTCAAAGAGTGGACTTTAATGATTTTGTTCATTGATAAGGTATTTTACTATTTTTTAGTATTTCACCATTTTACCTGGCTGCCTGTTTGTGGATCGGGATCTCAGATCTCTTGATAAATAGATCACCAGTCCTGACAAAAAAAATGATGCCCCCGTCTTCACCCGAATAGAGTACCCAGTCATTATAGCTGTATTTAGGGCAACTTCCAGTCTAGATACAGGCAATGATGACCAGGCACTCTATTCCGGAGGGGCTACACCCCTGTCTAGAAGCGGAAAAACAGTTTAGATCTCAATAAATTTTGACTTAACAAATTGCCTAAACCGCTTTCCATCAGTTCACCCCCTCAATGGGCTGGCCTCCAGTCCTGGGGCCAAGTCCCACTAGCAGCGTTGAGCTACCTCAACGCCTGAATCTGGACGCTATTGCGGAGATGTGCAGAAATAGTGTTGAGTTTCCTGAACTGCACGTCTCCACAAACACGTCCAGATTCAGGCGTTGAGGTAGCTCAACGCTGCTAGTGGGACTTGGCCCCTGTCCAGTCACCTTTCAGATTTATTTTGCGTATTGAACCAAACGCCATGGGCCCACAACAGTTCATTTGGAACACTCCACTATGATTCGGCATCGACTCACCGGGTCCCAAATTTTCTGTAGAAAAACTGAAAAAACTCAAAAAAAGAGGAAAAAAAGATCTTCTGATTCTGCGAATAATGTTTTGTCAAAATAAGTTCAAATAACACGAACAAACAAACTGGTCCAAGACTCGCACTTCAACAGAGGGTTCAAAATATTCTTTAAAAAAAAGATGTAAAAAAAAAAAAAAGAAAAAAAAAAAGGGGGTTCCAGATTAGCAGGAGCCCCCTATACTAGGATGATGCGCGTCGACTACACAAAGGTTCCAAACATTCTTTACTCTTAGAAAAAAACTCAAAAAAAAAAATGAAAAAGTAAAAACGACCAGAAGACGACTGAAGTCATCGGGCATCTTTTGAAGTCACTCAAAGAAAGTTGAGGAAGACCACAGTCTTAAACCACCAATACCTTTCCCAGCTATCGGCCGCAGGCCCTGCGCGCCGAGTTTTGGCGGCGCATCTGGCTGCAGCCGAAGGCTGAGTGCAGCCTCCATGTTAAATGGTGCGGGACGGCAAAATGGCTGGGAAAGGTACTGCTGGTTTAAAGTTTAAAGTTTAAATGCATGAACGTTTTTTTTTCTTTCTTTCTTTCTTTCTTTCTTTCTTTCTTTTTTTTTTTTTTTTTTTTGAAAGGAGAAGATGTACATGTTATGACATAATCTTTTTTCAAAATCTAAAACTTAAACACATGAACCATTTTTTTTCCCTCTTTTGCTATTTTTTCTCCAAACATATAGCCAGGGTATGCATCTCCCACCTTCTAAATCCGAAGGGGGTTATGCCACCTTCTTAAGACTCTCTCCCCCCNAAAAAAAAAAAAAAAAAAAAAACGGCCATATGCCTGACTGGACTGCTATTTCGAACTCCCCCCCCCCACTATTCTGCGGACCTGAGTTTAGACTGCATTTCAAACCCGTGCCCTGACTGGACTGCAGAAACGATGTTTCGAACGCATTTTCAAACTCTAACCGTGACTGCGCCGTATTTTTCTCTTTTATTTATTTTCAAAATCATGCTCCAATATATTCGTGGGGAGCAACACGTGCTGGGAACCGGGCCCAACGTGATGGTCACTAAGCGTTGGAAGCCTTAATTGATTGGCAGAAGGCAGATGCTCTGCTGAACAGCTGCTACACAATTTTCGACGAAAGCGCTGAGCAGCGTGAAGCAATGATAGCGCGGCTTACGCTTGAGGCTGATGTTGCCAATTCTACTGAGGAATCTACGCCATCGATCACGGTGTCATGTCCTACATCAATACCGATAACACCAACAAAAGCACCGGCAGCACAGGTAACAACTTGAATGATGATATCCGTGATAATCACTGAAACGACTACACTGAATCCGCTGACATCTTCAAAAATGACTTCATCAACAACATCTCCAATAACGATGCCGGCTGCAATCACCGAAACGAAGTCAACGACTGCCATGACTTCTACAAAAATGAATTCATCAACACAATTTACACCGATTATATCAAGTCGGCCGGCCTTAGTGAAGGCGTCTAAGGTAAGTGCCACTCGGATTGATTGTGCTTCTGTTGAGACAAGGGTAGAATTAGGGGTCGGTGCAACAGTGGTTGTAAGTGGGGGCTGGGGGAGGATGTTTTGGGATGGGCGGGGCGGGATTCTGCGGGCGCAATGGGACCCGGGGGGAATGTCGACACAGGATGAGTTTTGTGCTGGGGCGATGAGGGTTAGGGAAGCGTTGTGTCTCCGTCTCAGCCCCTCTCTGTTCTCAATGGCGGTGTGTCTGTTGCGCCTCGTTGATGCGCTCTGACGTGGCTTGGTTTGATGTGAGTTGCATCAGAGCCGTGAGTGATGTGAGTTGAAGCGATTCGATATGATTTCATTCACGGTTGCAGGAAGGAGTGCGATGCGTTTTTTGTTTGATAGGGCTGGGTTAGCTCTGGACCCGGTTTCCAGCAGGTGCAGCTCCCCACCAATGGAATGGAGCAACTCCCCAGGTGGTAGCGGTGTCTGCTCTTATCAGCATCACTAACACTGAAGGGGTGTTTAAAATAAAAACAAAAAAAAAAAGATTCCATTACATTAGACTAACCCGGATGGGGCTTTTAGATGTGATCTGCGCCTGATTTGATTGATTTGATAGAGTAAATAAACAGCGATGGGATATGTTTCAACGGGACTTGATCTCCTTGATTACGGTTGAACTTGATTGACAGCAACAGCACTAGAGGGTGCTGCTCTTGCTGGTGCATAAGGGCAATCAACGCTGCCAATCACCAATCACGACTTTCCTTTGGGCCTTAATGGGCAGTTAATCCCCTCGTTTGAGGGCAATCAATGCTCCCCCCATGAAGTTCAACCACGACTTACAATTGGCTCCTGTGCGTTAATGAGGAACACTGGACCCGGTTTCCAGCTGGTGATGCTCCCCACCAATAGATTGGAGCCATCTTCTTCGGAGCCCCATTCGTGGAGGCTGCTCTTATCACCTCCACGAATAGGTTTCCCTCGGATGTTTCAAAAAAAACCCCCAAAAAAAAAAAAGACAAAAAGACAGGCACAGCATGCCTTGGCAGCCTTGCATCATTGCTTATGGCAACGCAGCAGCCGTGTCCGTCTGTCGGGAAGAAGAAGAAGAAGAAGAAGAAGAAGAAGAAGAAGAAGAAGAAGAAGAAGGGGGTACCAGCAGAAGTTTTGAAAAAAAAATAAAGGGGAAAAGGGCAGAGAAGGAGAAGAAGGGAAACAAATGTGGACGGGACACAGTGGAACTTGTGGTAACTCGTGGAACTTGTGGAGCTTGTGGAACTGGTGGAACTGGTGGGACTGGTGGAACTTGAGACTTTCAGCCTTCTTGCATGGCATCAGAAGCGCTTAGGAGCGCCGCTCGCAGTTCCTTGCTCGAAAGAGACAACGGCGTGTTCTCTTCCTTGTCCTTGGCATGAATATCCGCACCATGCCTCACTAGCAGAAGAGCAACCTGTTGCGATGCGCACCGAAACCATCCCGTCCGCAGGAGCAAGACCGAAACCACACAACCACCATCCCCTCCACAGGAGCAAGACGCACACGGCATAACGAACGTAAAAATGCCACCATCAGACGCACGAAGGAAATTTCCAAGTTCAATCATCCCTATATGATCTATATATATCAATATCGCTTTCAGAATTGGGGTCCTTGCCCTATACCAAACGAAGGCTCCTCAAGGAGCTGACACTAGACTTCGCAGGAAGCCTGAAAACTCTGTGAATCCACGAAGGCGCTTTCACACGTAGGAATTCTTGCCGCTACTGCTACATACCATCAGAAAGATTTCAAAACCTAAGGGGGGTTCCTAAAAAGGAACAATGCGCAACTATGTTTTGGATATATATATATAAACAATTTGTCACAGCCCCTTGTTTGTTGTCCTCTTCTCTCTCTCTGCCTACGGTTTACCGGGCAGTTCTGTTTGTGACGATATATATCGTCACAAACAGAACAGCCCGGTAAACCGTAGGCAGAGAGAGAGAAGAGGACAACAAACGAGGGGCTGTGACATATATATATCGTCACAACCCCCCCCAAAGCAGGTAACTTGCCAAAACAGGAAAGTCACTTTTTCTTTGCAGTTGCATTTTCTGATCAGAATCAACAGATGACATAATAAACCATTGAAGGAAAAGCAGTCTGATTAGTCGATCGAAGGAGGAGGAAAATTCAAAATTGTAATTAGGAAACATGGACTGCTGGGTTGGAAATACATACACATACATGACACATCAGATGGGGAAAAAATAAAAAAAGTCAAAGACGCAGCACAAGAGAGCCCTCTAATGTCCTGATCAGGAAAACAAATACAGCACAGGCCCAATTCCCTCTTCCTGGACACAAGTCAAGCATCCCAAAATGACATTTTGCCACAAACACTGGTTATTCCTGACACTGGTTGTGGATGAGGGGAACTTAACCAATTGCTGCAACTGGTTATGGGTGAAACAAACCCATTGCCACAACTGATTATGGGTGAAACTAACCATTTGCTGCAACTGGTTATGGGTGAAACTAACCACTTCCTTACTTACACACGAGAGCCAGAGACAGAAGCGACAGCTGAACGGGTTAGCATCCTTACGTACGGGCTTAGGAATCTCAGACCCGTATGACTGTGGTCAGCTTTTGAACCCGGTTCCTACTACCTGATTTCAGTGATGCATTCGCGATGATACCTACCAGCGGTACCCCTTTGTTGAAGGGAAAGATGCCAATCTCCCCGCAATAAAAGACCACGGCGGCCCACCGCCGACAACTGAGCTTCATTGCATTTACAAATCACAATACTAATCTCTTCCCCCAAAACATCGGACGGGCAAGAGTCAAAGTGCATCTGACTAGAAAACTGCCTTCAATACGTTCTCACTATGCCTATGCATTCTTTTCTAGCGAAGATGTGACACACATACAGACCATGAACGTCCAATCTACAGAGAGAGAGAGAGAGAGAGAGAGAGAGAGAGAGAGAGAGAGAGAGAGAGAGAGAGAGGTTTCGTCTTCATGCAAATGGAACGCATGACGTCGCCTGGTCATTATTTTGCTGCATCTGAACTGAAAGTGACCCAAATACAGCTATAACGATTGGGTGTTCTATTTGGGTGGAAGACGGTAGGTAGGTACCTCCCTCCCTTTTTGTGGAGGGTTGTCGAAATCGAATCTGCTTGACCCCCAAAACATGATTTCATTGGTCCCTCCACCCCTTCTGTGGGGGTTTGGAAAACCAATTTGGTTTCTTTCGTTTTCGGTGGAGGGCCAATGTGATAGTTGCAGGAGGGACCAACTAAATCAAATTTTGGGGTCCAACCAAATAAAGACCCCAAATAAATCACATTGGGGGGGGGGAGGGAGGGGGAAGCGATAGAGCGATAGGTGACCTATGTTGACCACTGGAGTCCCAAAGACTTATGATGGTAATAATTTAATAAAAATTAATAAATATGGTTAACCCGATTAACATAACAAAAGCGTAATGGACCATTAATGGTACACACAGCCACTTTCAACTTTTAAGTGTACTTTTTACTTAAGTGAAGTTAAGTCTTAAGCTCTATAAGCAACTTGGCAGAAATTGATCTTAGATTTATGATTTATCATTTCTGGCATTATATTATTATATTATAGTGGACTCCTTCCTGAGCCTTCATGGAGTGTGATGGCGTGGGGGTTCGACGTTAGGATGAAGAATGGATGGAGATTGAGATTGAGATGAAATGAGAGTGACCTGCTCATGACTGCAGCTTGCAGCTACCATCAATGGCGTCTGCCCACTCATGTCCGTAGCATCCACCGTTGCCCCCATTTCTAATAGCACTTCAACCACTTCCTCGTGTCCCGTGCTTGCTGCCCGATGAAGAGCAGTCGCACCAACCTGCCGACAAACAAACACATTGCACAAAAAACACAAGTGCACAGGCCATATTTACTTGACGTGGGAGAGTTTGGTGTACCTCCTGCTTTCTACAGAAGGGGGAGGGGGGAGGAAAACACATTGACAAAACTCACAAATGCACCAACCCTCCGACAACACATTGCACAAAAATCACATTGCACAAAAATCACAAATGCCACCCTCTTGGGGCAGCTACCCCAGAGGGGGGATGGTGGGGGGGGATTAAATAAGTTAAATTACAGAACTCGTTCCAAACTTCAAAAGAAAGAGATGAGGTGACATGTCGGGTCACGCGTTGACAAATCATGGTTGGGATCGAGAGGTGCGGTCTCAACTACCTCTTCACCCCCCTGTCCCCCCCTGTCCCCCCCCCTGTCCCCCCCGTACCTACCACAACTCCCCTCACGCCTCCCGTTTGTCGGCTCCCATTTGAATCAATTCTGATTCTGAGCCCCCTCTTCCTGACCCCCCCCCCTTTCAATCATTAAACCACCAGTACCTACCGGCCCGTGGCTCAGGCTACCGGTAGCCCGGTCATTCCCGAGCCTCGGACTTTATTGCCGAGCCTCGGACAACCGGTAG